CAAAAGTGCGCGGCGTGAGTCATCCACCTGGTAATTTACACACTGGAAAAACACAGGTGCTACTTAGCACCTTTACTGGGTGCAACATAAGTTTTGGGGGTGCTATAAAGTGCGTAACAACGGTGTCGCAACGATGTCGTTACGTTACAACTATCGTTCGCAGGGCGCCACTTTTATATCGTTAAGTAGACAGAAGTGGCATATCAAACGAGTAGTGTCATCGTAAAGATAACGTTTTTATCAACAACATTCATCCTCACGGCGTAGAGCCTGTAGCATACAGGTACTGAAGGCCTTAAATCTAGCACATATTTGTGGTGGTAGCACCTTTTTTTCTAAAGGCACTGGGGCACTAGCATCTACCAAGGTGCTGCATAGAACCTATGTTTTTCCGGTGTTCAAAAAAGAAACATAAATGAAACGTACACTAGTACTAACCAAAATGAAAAAAAACATGAAAATTTTCTCAAACTATCACTTTTGCATGAAAAACAAACTTTTTTTGCAATGATGTACGACGCTGTCAATTGCGAATGGTGGGACTGCGGATAAAGTAGGGTTGCGAGGCGGCCCCCGCTACTGTTGGTGCTGGTGGGGTCGAGGCGCTATCCTGAAGTTCATGCCGGGGGGAGGCAGGGCGAACTTGGCGTGGGGTTGCGACGCGCTCACCAAACGGCTGAAGTGTCCCGCGGGAGGTGGGCTCGGCTGGTACCTGCAGGGCAAGCACAACACACGATCAATGAGACAATTGCTCGTCGTACAACATGGCCGCGGTGGCCACACCACGGCCCCACCATGGCCACACCATCACCATGGCCACACACCATGGCCGCACACCATGGCCACACACCATGGCCACACACCATGGCCACACCATGGCCTCACCATGGCCCCGGTGGCCACAGCCTCACCCTCACCTGTCGTGGTCCGGAGCCGCGATGCTGGAGGCGGCCGGGGTGGGCCCGCGGTGCCGCGGCTGGTGCTGACGGCCCGGCGCGCGCTGCTGCAGCTCCTCCAAGGAAGGCATGGGGTGGCCACGCATCAGCCGGAACTCCTCGGCGTCCTCGTCGCGCGGCATCAGCCTCTCCGCGTCCCCTGCGACCACACGCCATTCAACTGTGATGACCTCCCATAGGTAGAACATAATCGTCAAAAACTCGCCAATGACCCTCATGCCACTCAGAATGAGCTCAATCTGGCCGCAGTAAATCTTGAGGATGAGCGTCATAATGCGGTCATTATGACATCACTTTGACGAACATGTTCTATCTGGGATCGCACTATAGGTTCCTCAGAATAGTGCGGTTAAAGCGTATCACACAAACGGTTAATACCGTCGTGCACATTGTACAATTGAACGACAACTTTACAAACTGTTAAAATGAGAGGAAACGAATCGTCCTGTGGGTCAGGAACCACCCCAAGGAGAGCAAGGCCCATGCAAATTTACAACATGGCACACCCGCATAATGGTTATGCTCATGCAAATATACATATACGATATTACAGGGCAGGCGAGGACTTGCAGAAGTCCCCCGCAACGTACCGGGAACAGGCGAGCCGTCAGGCATGACCCGCACCACCATCGGGCCGCTGGCGTGGCCGAAGACGAAGCGGTCGTCCTGGTCTTGCGCCGCGGAGCCGGGGCCTCCCAGGCTGTTGCCGCCGTCGGTGAGCTCGCCGTCTGCAAAGGGAACAAGGGGTGGGGTAGAGCGGGAAGGGGGGTAGAGACGCCCGTCCCGTCACCTCATCCAACCGATCTGGGAACGAGGAGGGGCCGCAATACAACCAAACTTTGTACAGAGATTGCATGATTGCGCCCGATGGCCGAGCCGATGGCACATATTAAATTTGTAATAATTTAACCAAAATTGGAGTATGCATACTCAGAGAGGAAAATGAACAAAAGTCACTTTATTCCAAATGCTTCACGTTTCACCCACGACGCGTTGTGGCGTTTGCAACATATCTCGCGTGACAGTTCCTCAAATAGTTTTCAGTTCTCCTGCCCCACCATTCCCTTGCAGGGGGCACCTCCTACTTTTTTTTTTACGACCCATATGGAATACTGACGAGGGTGCAATGGTCTCACATGCGCATGCACCTTGCAGGCTCACGACTCCACGTCGCCTGCCTCTGCACCGCTCTGCACGCACAGAAACAACCCGGAATTCCACCTTCTTGCAGAGTTGCAGTGCCGCTGAACCACGTCGTCGGTGGGGGGCGAATTACAAATTGTAGCCGTATGTACACCACACCGGGAGTAGAGAACGGGGCCGTCCAAATGGGGACGGTTGCTTCCCATACCCTGCAGACTGGCTGTACACTTTGTTACAGGTATTAGGGCCCCTGAGCCTGTTCTCACCATCCTCATAGACGTCCTGGGCCTCGTTGCGCCGGGAGGGGCTGGTGCTGGTGGCGGCGCTGGGCGTCGGGCTCACGCCGGGGCTCTTGTAGCTGCCCTTCATCATCGAGTCCCAGACTGCGCACAGGAAAAATAACAAACTATGGAAGCTCTGCACGCAAGCGGCGGAGCGAGCGGGTTGAAATGCATCGCCACAAAACTGAATGAACTCTGGTCTCCGAAATGAGACTTTTTTTTAACGGTTTAGCAGGTTATGTGGACTTACTGATGTCTTGAGCCCCCCGCTGGTAAGGGTCCATCTTGTCGAGGCTGTCGTCGTCCATTTTGGCCAGGTTGGTGAGCCCGTACACCATCAGCACCTTGTTGCAGTCTGCAGGAGAAGGAAAACGAACGTAAGTAAAGTCCCAAAACTGTATTTCCATACCAGAGTGACAGTTCGGTGCTTGTGACTATGACTGTAGGTGGCGGTCCCCCGTTTCACACGCCCCCCCCCCTCTTCCCCGGGGCCGCCCATGGCGCCACCGACATGGCATAGCCTAACGCGGAAACTGGCCCAGGGCGGTGGCCACCGGGCCGCCGGGGCGCCGGGCCGCCGCAAAGTACATGAGCTTCCCACCTCCATCGAGCGCCGCACGGGCCGCACCGGGAAAAGAAAACACGCGCCGAATCGCTTTAGTGCGAGGGAAACTCTGGGCGGCGGGCGGCGTGTTGTACTACTTTATATATAAAGTATATCGGCGTCGTAAATTCACAAAAGTTTGGTAAACTCGAATTGTAATGTAAGTTGTAAATTTACAAGAGCGCATTTTTTTTACTCTCCTATAGATTTTAGGTCGCTACGTACTCCATGTATTTTCACGATTACAAATTGTAATTTTACAACAAGGAAAATTTTCCTGTCAACCTTCCTACTAATTTTCACGTTGTAACGCCCGGCGGTTAGACTGCACCGACGACTGCACCGCGCAGCACGGGCGTGTGGCTCGGGCCCGCCTACCCGCACGGCGCTCGCCGGGCCGATCTGGACAAACTAACGGCACGGATTCACAAATAATGCACCGTATCACACGGATTTGTTTGTCCGGGCGGAGCAGCACGGCGACGACGCATACAGGAGGCTTGCTTGCGCGCCGCCGCGCCCCGCACCGCGCCGTGCAGCGCTGTGTGCTTCCGGCAGCCATAGAGAACGCGCTCAGGCGTGTACAGCATGCGTTATCTGCTTCCGGTGCGAAGGCCGCTCTAATTTCAATGCGAATTAAACGCATTATGGGGAGCGGCGGGCGATGAGCGTCTCTGCATACGCACAGCAGGCCGTCGCCAGCCAGGACGAAGACCACCCCGATAGTTACGTCGCGAGGGGGACAGTATAAAGATAGATTTTCTTTCCGGAAAAAATCGAAAATGTTCCAGAAAGGAAAGGAAAAAATTGCAATAGTTTCAGAAAAAAATCGGGAAGTGGTGAAATTTTTCAGGAAAAATAAGTTATGATAATATGAAACGAAATATTCTTGAGATATTCCCCCAAAAAATGCTTAACTGCGGAAGATAATTATCCCGACCCGTGGGCAAAACAGTAGTTGTATTTCACTCCCCCGGCGTGGCGCGGCTCGCCGCGGCCGGGCCGAGGGCCTGGCACACTGACCCGGAGTACAGCAGACTACCAGGGCGTGGGAGGCGAGGCCTCGCCGTGCCACGGCCGTCCTGGGATATCCTGGAGGCACCTGGAGGCGCATGGAAGGGACCTGGAGGCTGGAGCGAGGGGGGGGGATGACCTCAGGTCAAATCATCTTCCCTCGCGCGCCTCGCGGAAATGTTTTCGAGGCTAGTCGAGCAAAGCCCCCCCCCTCTCCATCCAGCTCTTCCGTGCCGCTCCGGGCTAAGGGATCGTCCAGAAAGTACGTCCGTTTTTCTTAGATTCATTCAGCAAATTATGGGAGCTCGGCGCCTGCCTCGGCGCCTGCCTCGACGCCTGTGAGACTCGTGGTAGGCCACCCCGCAGTACACGCATGCAATGCAGACGACATGTTGCCTACCCATCCGGCGCTAAGAGACCTTGCACAGGCTAAAATTGGCAGGTTCGTGACGGCAAATAACGAATGACCCTTAAAGATTGTGCCTGAAATTTCCTGTACGGAACCTGAGACAGTCTAACACGTTCCCTGCGGCTCGTTGTGGTCCCTATGATGATTTAACATGGGAGCCTGGACACACAGTCGTCATGCCGCAGGAAAAGTGCTAAATTAATTCTGAGTGTACGTCACAAGTCACAAAAAGCAAAGGTGTTTGGGGTACAGGGTGGCGTTACATAAATTCTGTTGCGAACATCAGCAACACGCAAACATATTTTTTTTTTTTTTTTTTTTTGCATTTCTCATATCGCTAAATGGAATATATGTGCTTGCACTCTTGAACTTTCTCCGTCATGTTCACAACGGTGCATCAGAGGGGAGAGAGAGGAAGAGAGAGGAGGGGAAGGGAGAAAAGGGTTCGGACCGGCGGCGGCACCTCACTTCAACTACATGGGCGGTCTGTCACCCTATTGGGGGAACGCGTTTGGCGAGTCGGCGGAACTGGGCCACGCCCCTCCCCCCCCCCTCTCCATACTCCCTCCACGACACATCTGCATACAGAGATGCTGGCGGGCAGCTGGTCCAGCTCCGGCCAGTCCGGTGCGGCCCGGCCTCGCGGAGGGTTAATTGCGTGTTATCACGATGCGATGCGATATGCAGCCCGGCAGCCGGCAGTGGGGCCCCAGGGCCCGGGGCCCGGGGCCCGGGGGGCGCCACGGGATGGGCGAGAGGAAGGTTATGAGAACCCCTGCCTGCCTGCTCCGCTCGGCTCAGCCCAGCCTTGCTGCAGGCTGTTTGCGCGCGCGCGCGCACACAAGAGCTGCTGCGGCTTTATCAAGATTTCGCGACTCGGAATTTAATAAGAATAATGCAAGATATATGAAGACAAAGTCGAGACGGGTTTGCCGGTTTTGAAGGATGTCATGTATAAATACGAGAAGAAGGTTAGCAGGGTGTCGGGGGTGGGGAATAATTGTACATGCGCTTATTTGTGCGTACCGGATGGCTCATCACGCCGTGTGTTTGTCTGTGTCTGTGTGACGCATAAGAAGAGGTGTGAGCGTTTGTTCCTTCCGGAGTTCGCATCGAGAGGTGACGGCCGCCGCCCTGCCCTCTGCGCCACGCATTCCTTGATCCCATGCCAGCCATAGGAGTGCCCCCCCCCCAAACTCCCCCCAGCGCCGCACCCGCGCACTGCACCGCTTGTTCCGGAGCCCATCTCCATAAGGTCCGGCTCGCTTGTCGCCGTGTAAGGCGATGACGCCACGGGCCCCGCCCCACCCCGCCCCGCGACGTCCTGACGTCATAGTACACGAACCAGTGCGTCAACAACAAGCGTGACCTGGCCCCTCACCGCGTCGCGGCTACGCTCGCGCGCGCTCGCTGCACCGACCGCGATGCGCGACTACGAGAAAGAGAAAAGAAATCTCTTTACCATGTCCGTCGTGCCCCTCCTCAGTCCCCCCCCCCCCCGCACCCTCAGCGATACGACCATTAATTCGCTTCTTAATTCCCGCTGCCTCTAACGACCCTCTTTTGTCCTTTCCCAGCCATTAGCGGAGTGTGAGCGAGTGAGCGCACCTCCTGGGCGCGAGGAGCCAGCCGCGGGCCGTATAGTAGGGGCGCTTCGCTTATGTTGCTCCCACGGCGCACGGGCCCGACCCTTACTTCTCCACCTGTCATCTTTCTCCCCCCCCCCCTTCTCTCTCTCTCTCTCTCTCTCTCTCTCTCTCTCTCTCTCCTGCTTCCGTCCAGCCAGTTATCGGCACTCTGCCATATAACTACTGTAGTCGCACGCATCACCCCCTGTAACAGCGTCGTCGTCGCCGTTTCCTTGCGGGAGCCCCATCTCATATCCAGGGAGTAGCACTAAAGCAAAACGCCTCTTACACGCGCACACACACTCACAGGCACGCACACGCACACGGGCACACACGCACGCACGCACGCACGCACGCACACAGGCACGCACACGCGCGACAGACCTTCGGGAGAAAGGGGCGCAGTTGTTATTACACAAGCGCGGCCTCCTCATGACGCCGATGGATGAGGCTCCTCCTGGGAAACGAAACGGAAGAAATTCTGCGAATAACGCGCCGCGGAGAGGGCGGGCGAGCAGCAGGCGCGCGCCGCGAAATGCACTCACCACGGCCCTCATGGCAGTCGGAGGACCCTGCGAGTAGACCCAGAGGAACGAGCGCCTTTTGATTTCACGCCAGAAAGTACTTTCGCCGTTGGAAATTTTTTACTTTGATTTTGATGCTGAGTTCAGTTTATTTAAAGGGAATTCCCCTTAAAGGCGTTTGGATTTTTACACCAACCCCTTAAAAATTCCCTTTGCAACAACGGAAGCACCTTTTGACGTGAAACCAGAACCAGAGGTGCGTTTTTTTTGGGTGTATGGCGCGTTCTCGTCGGATCGGCGAGCCACCACTCTCGAGTACACGCCGCGCAGACTTTCGAGTTTGTCAACACTCTGAGCAGTGCAGTTTGCGCACTCTTCCGAGTGACACCACCGTGACATGTGCTGCCCGGGCCGCCAGAGAGGGCCCCGTATGGGGGCTCATGACGACCGAGCCGCTCCCATCAGGCCGGGCGATGCGGGCGGGAAGGCCCTCCTCTTAATACCAGCCGCACGACTGCATATCTCATGGACCCATGGCAGACGGCGCCGGGTCCATGTGTCAGTGCCATGGGACGGCGGACGCCAAGTCCATTCACAGCCCGACGCTAAATCTTTTTACTTCCAAGATCCTTATGGCTCAGTCACGATCAGTCACGATGATACACTCGACACAGACTCGCATTCACACACAGACACACATACGCGCGCGCACCACACACAGACAAACACACGTCCACATGCGCGAACTCACGGATACGCGCTAGCGAAAGGAGCGGGTGGAAAGATTTGCATACAACATACTAAATGTTCGAAATGAGGCATGGATATGGATAGAGGGGGAGAGAGTTAATCCCAAACCAGAATTTGTATCCCCCGGCTTGAACGTTCAGGCAGATTGGTAGAGGAAGAGAGAGAGAACGGAGAGATGTGGCGGGGGGTGAAGGCAGGCAGGGAGAGAGAGAGAGAATCGGGGGAGGGGGGGAGGGGCTTTCCCCTTCCACGCAGAGTGACAATCCCCGCGGTGGGCCTGGGACTCCCCCCCCCCCTCCCGCGCCGCTCGGTTGTTTTTCATTGCCGCCGGCTACTCGCCCGGCCCGGCGTGGCGTGTCTCTATATGTTGTGCGGAGATCAGAGCGCGAGGAGAGCGAATTTTCATCCGAGCGCCTAACGAGCGCA